AGACTTCATCTCACCTATTTTGGTCATGTTGTCAGAAGGGACCATTCCCTGGAGAAGGATGTCATGCTTGGTAGGGTGGAGGGTCGACGAAAGAGAGGGAGGCCTTCAACGAGATGGATAGATACGGTGGCTGCGATGATGGGCTCAAGTATAGCAGGGATTGTGGGGCTGGCGCAGGATCGGGCAGTGTTCTGCTGTTCATGGGGTCGCTATGAGTCGGAAACGACTCGACGGCACTTAATAACAACAACAACAGTAACTCCTTGTTTGGTTTGATTGACTGCGTCCCGGTCTGTGTATAAGTCCTGCATGAGCACAATTAAGTGTTTCGGAATTTCCATTCTTTGAAATGTTATCCATAATTTGCTATCCATACAGTCGAATGCCTTTGTGTAGTCAGTGACACACAAACAAACATCTTCCTGGTATTCTTTGCTTTCAGCTAAGATCCATCTGACATCAGCAATGATATCCCCATTCCACACCCTCTTCTGAATCTGACTTGAATTTCTGGATGTTCCCTCTTTTTGAATTAACTTCAGCAAAATTTTACTTGTGTGTGCTATTAATGATATTGTTTGACAGTTTCCCAGGCCCCACCCAAGAGGCAGGAGAGGAGGGAAAGAGCTGGGGACGAGCTGGGGACGACCAGGCGGCAGGGTCCAGGTCAGAGGAGGGAGACAGGCAATTTCCACGTTCTGTAGAATCACTTTCCTTGGGAATGGGCAGAAATAGGCATCTCTTCCAGTCAGTTGGCCGGGTATCTGCCTTCCAGGTTTCTTGGCTTAGACAAGTCAACTGTTGCATCATTGGTGTCCCGTCCATTCCTGGAGGCTTGTTTCTTAGCAACACCACCCTCAGTGCCCCTTGGACTTCGTCCTTCAATACCATCGCTTCTTGATCCTGTCCACCTCCTGGGACGGTTGACTGCGGACCACTTTTTCCGGGACCGTGACTCGTGTATCCCTCCCATCTTCTGATGCTCCCTGCATTGCTCAGTATTTTGCCCACAAGCTCCTTCAGTATTGCTGCTCAAGGCTTGGACTTTTTCTTCAGTTCTTTCAGCTTGAGAAATGCTGAACGTATTCCTCCCTCTTGGTTTTCTAACTCCAGGTCTTTGCACATTTCATTATAGTACTTGACTTTGTCTTCTCGAGCCACCCTTTGAACTCATTTGCTTTAGCTCCTCTCCATTCAGGAGTGAGTTTTGGAGTCTCTTCTGACATCCATTTTGGTGTTTTCTTTATGGAAGAGAGGAGTCCCCTGGTTTCTAAAGTTCTCTCTTGAGGAACAGAATTACTGTTTCCTTGTTCTAGAATCAGAGTTTTTCTTCCAGGAGTCTCGTGTAATGAAATATTCTAAGATGCCTGTTGCTTCTAGTGATTAAATTATCAAGAAAGTTTGTTTTCCTCAGAATACCTCTCAAACAAACAAACAAAAAACCTCACTACTATTCTGAGTCAGTTCTTTATGGAAGCAGACTGCCTCATCCTTCTTCCGTGGAAAATTCGTCATGACCCTGAAATAGCTGAGGGGGCACTCATGGCTGCTGCTAGGTGACGTAACTGACTGTGGTCAAGAGCTGTTGGGAATGCTCACTCTAATGTGAAAGGGTGTCCACTTGGGAGGAGGACATGTGAATGGTGAACTTAGCCCTTGTAGTGCCCTGGCCTCTGGCACTGCTCTCTCTAAACTGGCTCTCCATGTTCCAGGGAAGGACGCCCAGAAGGGACCGCTGCTCTTTGACGACCTCCCTCCGGCCAGCAGTACTGACTCAGGTACAGTCTTCAGGCTCTCCCAGGTGTGTGTCAACGTCTCTACTCATCCTGGGCTTGTAGTGGTCTCAATCTTTCTCCCTTTCCCCCGTTTTCAACACGCAGATGTTTTAGGTGTTGGACTGTCTTAAGTTTTGAACCCCTGGCCTCAGGTAAGGCAGAAATCCACTAGTTGCTAGCCTTGAGAAGTACGGCGTCAAAATGTTGAGCAGTTCTCTCCAGTTCATTTGAGGGTTTATTTGCTGAAATAAAACACACTCTCTGAGGCAGATTTGTCTTCTTTGGAACGGTAGGACTTTAAAATAAACTAGGTTCAGGATACCGTTTGCAGTACGTGCTGCCGCTGGCCTGGCGGTTTCCAGTGTGTCTCACTGGCCTGACGTAGGTGTCCTGGTGGGCTGGATGCTGACACTGGAGCCGTGTCCTGTGGGTTCACTGCGTGTTCTGGTGTGTTTCAGGACCAAGAGGGCCCTTACTTTTTGATGATCTCCCACCTGCTGGCAGTGGTGATTCAGGTGAGTGGTAGGAAAAAAGGTGACTCCCAAGTCAGCTGTAAGTGGTCTGGGGACTGCCTCGTTTGTCCAGGTCCCTCAGGTTTGCTGCCTTTGACAGGGCACGGTCTTAGCCTTTCTGCCGCTCCTTTTAGTGGAAGATACCTTCCTTTTCCTTCTCTGACAGGTCTCTGGTTTACTCAGCTTATGGCTTTTGCAGGTTTTACTGCACCCAAGGCTTAGGTGAGTGGTGAGTCATGACATGGCTGTAGGGACATCAGGCGGCAGTGGGGGGTGGGGGCAGTGGTCTTAAGTACTATACCACTTTTTGGTGATTTTGGTTTTATTTTCCCTTCTTAGAGTTCAGGGAGCTCTGGTGGCATAGTGCCTAAGATATCTGACTGCTAACCAGGAGGCTGGCGGTTCAAACCCACCAGCCACTCCTCGGAAGGAAGGTTGGGCAATCTACTTCTGTATAGATACTGCCTCAGAAGCCCAGGGAGGGGTTGCCATGAGTCAGATCTGACTTGATGGCAATGAGTTTGGTTTTTTTGTTATTTCTTGGAGATCAACCTGTCAGAGCTGACTTTCAGAATTAAGAGTTCAGTGATTTACTTTGAGCTGCTTATTTTTAATTCTCTGAGTCTGTTCTAATTCTCCTTGTTGTGTTCCTGGGAGACTCAAATGTATCAGCTAATACTGTGAGTGGAAGGGATCAGCATATATCTCGTGTCCCTGACTACACACAGGTCAGTGGGCCTTTTGCTTAATGGTACTATGTTAAAAGAATTTTGATCTTTAGTGAAGTCTGAAGGACACTGGTTTGGAGACCCTGCTGTAGACCATGTACAGAGAGTTAGTTTTCCTCCCCCAGTCCAACCTTATACATCAAGATTCAGGTTCTTTGATTTCATTTTTTGCCAAGCCCCATTATCTTGTGGTTTTACCTGCTCATGTCAATGTAAGCGGTTTTTAAAATGTCCCAGTTGAATAGAAGAGACTCATAGAGCAGCTCTTCTGTGTTGTAATGACAGTGGTACTGCCACTCCATGTCCCTGAGCGTTTCCTCGTGTGAGGACTACCAGTGAGCACGGGGGCACTGTGGACAGCCTCTCAGATCACATATATGCACATCTCCCACTAGTAAACCCTCCCTTAGGTTGTCATAGAAAGCCCCTGCCGCTTGTCAGGTGGATTTTTTTTGCTACTAACTCAATGACCATAAAGTCATGGGAACTGGTGTCGGAAGTGTGAGTTCAGCAGTGTCGTTCCTGTAGTCTGGGAGAAGCACTGCGGTCATCTTCCGTACGAATTGGCATGCTGTATTTCCAGGGCTGGGGACTCATACAGAAATGAATGGTGAACTCACACCATCGTCAGTTTAGCCTGTCACCTTCCCACGAAGACCGTGCTGTCAGTCATAATGAAAGCTAATGTGTACAAACAGGGCTCTTAACAGATTGAATAAAACCAAGGAAATTCGACATCACATCTCCTAGTTATCAGTAGAACCAAAGGCAGTAATCACTGGAGATTTAAGACATCTCAGCACCGTTAATAAGCCAATTTGTTGGATCTACACAGGCTTGTACCTGAGATTTTGGATTGCTTGAGAAGACTCATTCTTCCCAAGCTCGTAAGAGCTGTTTACAAACGTGTCTACACACTAGGCCACAGAGTAAGTGCCGAGAAGAAATGGGTGTCCTACATAGACCACATCCTCTGACTACACTGTGACGAGAGTAGAAGCCAGCAGGAAAATTTGAGGACTGTCTCTGTGTTTGGCATTTAGACAAAAGGAAGGTGCTTTTACATACACATGGGGAACTGGACAAAAACCATGAGTGACCAAGGCCAACAGGTAGGCTGTGGGGGGGATTCTGTTGGCTACATGCAGTGAAACTTTCTCAGTTGATTTGCTTTGTTGTTTGGATGCTACACTGTTGCAAACATCTGATGGTTTGTCAGTAGTTGACTCAGGGCCAGGATGTTATCTTGTTTTTCCTTCAAAACCAAACCCAACCCACTATTGTGGGTTAGCTCCGACTCACAGCGCCCCTAGAGGACAGAGTGGAACTGCCCCGGGGGCTTCCCCAGGCTGCCAGTCTTTATGGAAGCAGACTAGCACATCTTTCTCCTGCAGAGTGGCTGGTGAATCTAAATCCCCAACCCTTCAGTTAGCTGCCGAGCAGCTGGCCACCGCACCACCAAGGCTTTTTTCTTTAGTGCTCAGAAATGTCTGACCAAGAGCAGGTTCAGTAAATGGTTGCAGGCTTGATACCTAAACGTGCAGATCCACTTAGGGCCGGCCGTTCCTTGTGCAAGTAGCTGCCACTTGTTGGGTGCTCTGACCAGACACTGTGACAGATGCCCATCTGCCTTGTCCTCATCAATTCAGACCACCCCCTGAGGTGACCGTGCTTGCCTGCTGTGGATGAGGACATGGAGGTGGGAAGGTGTGTTGACTAATGGCCTGAAGGCCCAGGTCCCTCTGTGAGCAGCAGAGCTGTGACGTGCGCCTTGACTCTCCTCGTTCTAAGCCTCACACCTCTACCCCTGCCAGCCCTCAGCAGCTCTGCCTTTGAGCACGAATTGACCCTCGGCCACTGGGGTGGGACAGCAGGGCTGCGTGGCCTTTCTGGTTACGTGCAGTTCTTAGAGCCTGGTGGTTACCTTGTTAAGCCTTTTCTGAATATGCCCAGGTCACGGTGGGGTGTTTACAGATTCTGGAAACCTCCCTGTCCACAGACTTACACCCCCTGCCCCCGCTCCCCTCTGCAGCCCTGTTCTGTGTCCATGAGACACGGCCCTCTCCCTCCCGGCTGGCCGTCACTGCCCTGGGTCTAGGGCGGGAGGAGCCCAGCAGTCGGTTCCCGTTCCCTGCCAGGTCTCCAGCTTCGTTTCCGCCTGGTGTCCTCTCTCTGCCTCCAGGTCCCCCAGCGGCACAGATATCACTGCTGGCAACCAACGAAGGCAAAGGAGCAAAGAGGAAACCCCCGGAAGGAGAAAAGAACGGCAGTGAAGAGCTTGTGGAAAAGAAAGTTTGTAAAGGTTTTCAGACAGTTTGAAAACAAATGTATCAGACTCGTATTTCAAACCACCCAGAGCAAGAGGCCGCTAGGCTTCCCAGGCCTGACGTTCCCTCCCACGGCTGCCTAGAAGTAGGGGTGACATTGCTGCACGCGTCCCCTTTGCACCCTTCTGCTCAACGGGCCTGCGCTTCCCTGACGCACTGTGGTCAGAGAGGAAGCATCCGTTGGTCCCTGTAGCCTGACAGGCCCATAGGTATTACACATTCTGAGGGAACAGTAGTTTCTTGGCTGCCCAGCTCCTCACTCACTCCTGCTTTTGCTCCTGTCTTGTGTGGCCTCTGGGAGGCCACTTCCCAGGAGGCTAGAGACCCAGCTGGAATTTGTGGTCAGGTTTGTCCCTTGTCAGAGTTCCTGAGGAAGGGAATCGGAGGGACAGCTTGAGAGGTGCCTGTGGTGGATCTGTCCTTGCCAGGAAGTGCCTCCAGCAGCGGCCAGAGTCGGGTGTCGGGGAGAGTGGTCCCGCAGCACTCCTGCGCCTAGGGCCTGGGGCCTGGGGCCTGGGGCGTGCGCTTCCAGCAGGAAACCTTCCCGAAGGGCTCCCCCCTGGGAGCGCTGGAGTAGAAACCGAGTTTGTGCCCCCGGTGGACCCCCTCACCCCTGTCTTTAGCAGTTAAAGTGGAAGCAGCTTATTTGCCGCTGAAATCCCTCACCAGCTTCAAGCCAGAAAATCCATATTTTTGGGGTGTCTGTCAGGGCATTTGGGACTCCTGACTTGCATTTCTGTCAGCTGCAGTTTTGCTGTTGGAGTTGAATGACGGATTTGCACGGTTGCTTTCCCCAGTTAGAGCCCCGCTGGTGCGGAAGGTTGCCCGTTCTGGCTCTGGTACTTGGACTTCACACTTTCCTCGCACGGTCCGTTCTTTACTAACACTGTCTGACGGCTGCCCCACAGCTCAGCCCCCAGATACCACTCTGTCCAGCAGAGCTCTGATGTTAGTTGCAGACTTCCAGCTGGGCGGTGCCTGGGTGATGCCCCCTGGACACAGCTGAGGGGAATAGCCGTAGCTGCCTCACTGGCTCTGAGACTAGGGCGTGCAGAGGGAAGGGCACAGTTTTGTATTGGCTCTGTTCTGCTCTTCCCCAGCCTCTTCGATGATCTTTGGCCTGAAAGGCTATGTGGCTGAGCGGAAGGGCGAGCGGGAGGAGATGCAGGACGCCCACGTCATCCTCAACGACATCACCGAGGAGTGCCGGCCCCCGTCCCTCATGTGAGTGCCGGCCCCAGCTCGCTCACCTGCAGTGGCTTCTCTAGCCTTATTTCTTAGGAAGACTGGCCCATGACCGATTGTTGGGTTCCACATCAGCATTCTCGGCTCAGGGTGGTTCTGGTCCACTGGGGCCATTGGTGGTGGTCATAATGTGGGGTGGGTGGGGATTGTTGCTGGTATTGGGTGGCTGCATGCCCAGGCTGATGCTAAAGCTCCTGTAATGTGCAGGGCAGGACCCCCCAACACACACACCCCTACACACCTGTACACACTCCTCCCAACACCCACACCCACACACCTATACACCCTCCCCCCACCCACACACCTATACACCCTCCCCCAACACACACGCCCACACACCTGTACACCCTCCTCACACACACACCCCTACACACTTACCCCCCAACACACACATGCCCACACACCTATACATCCTCCCCCCCACACCTATACACCCTCCCCCCACCCACACACCTGTACACTCTCCCCCAACATACACGCCCACACACCTGTACACCCTCCTCACACACACACCCCTACACACTCACCCCCCAACACACACATGCCCACACACC